CTTGACCAGCCAAAGGAAACTACAGATTTTTTTCAGCATGAGGCCAACCGATTTGAGTGCTGATCAGCCGAAGGTTGGCCCAACAAATGACAGGAAAACGGCTTAACCAGGGTTGTTGTTAGAAGCAACCCTCATGGTAGGACTGAGAACCTGTGAATCTGCTGGTCACAGCAGCATTTTGACTGAAAGTGTCCTTCAGAATCTTCCACATTTCATCTGTCCCAGTCATAATGAGCTGCCGCTGTGTAAGAATTCTGGAAGTACAGCGGGTTTGCTTAATTGATGGTGATGAAAACCAGAGTTGAGATAAGGTTAGCATGTGCATATTTATGGTATACCTTACACCTCAGATGTCCTGTAGATAGCTATGTCGAGGAAGGGAAGATAGCTATCTCATTCTGATTTCATGATGAATGAAATGTTATAGTGTACACTGTTTAAATGGCTTCAGCTTGTTGGTACCGTGAGACCAGACAACTAAAGTGTGATCCATGTAACAGAACCAGCTGGAAGGCTTATAGTTTGCCTGGCCAAGTACCACCACCTCAAAGTCCTCCATGAAGAAGCTGGTGAGACAGGAGACAGTGGAGAATCCACTACCATGCCATCAGTCTGTTTGCAGAACCAGCAGCTTAAACAGAGGACATGGTGGAAAGAGCCTCAGGATATCTTACTCAATACGCTTACATGGGTTGCTTATGGCCTCCTTTATCAGCACCTTGGTGAAGAGTGAAAGAACATCAGAACTGGACATTTTGTTGTTGGAGAGAGACCAATGTGCAGACAAAGTCTGCTGGGTTCTTCATGTAATGCAGACATTTGCCAGCATGAGAACATAGGGCTGCCATATGTTTGGACAAGTGGTAGGTAGGGCCAAAACTGTGCTCAAGATGGGCCTTAAGGGACCCATGCTTCTGGATATTCAAGAGGCTATAATGCCTTGAAGGCCTTGAACCTTAAGGTTGAAGTTTTGGGCACACCCCCTCAGAAAATACGGATGTCTTCAGGGAAAGAATGGTCTTGTGTTCCATGTGTTCAGCAGGGTCCTTCTTCAACTTTCCATATTCTTCGTCCTCCAGAAGGGCAGTAATCTTTCTGGTACAGAGTATAGTGGTAACGCTACCATTCTCAGCAGTAAGGATGGTAAGCTACTCACTGGCTTCCAAGGCCAAACAGACCTCCTTTTCACACCTGTCAGGTTGTTATTGGACTTACATGAACCTTTCATGATCCTGACAGCTTCCTGCTGCACCTCCTCAGCAGTCTCCTCAGGCAAAACATATATCATTTTCTTCACCTCACAATGGATGTCCTCAATATGCACCACTGCCATGGTAATGACATCTGCTTACAGCTGAGCACACTGTCCTCCAACGGCAGACTGCTTAGACTGATGACAGTCTTTCTGTTGTTAGGAGGAGGGATGGGCATTGGGCCTTGTGGAGGTATTCCAGTATCTTAGACTGCACAGCTTTTACTATCAGCAACAATGTGGAAAACCTTCTTGGTCATGATAATAGATTTGGTTCCAGTCATCTGGCAACAGCTCAACGGATAAGTGCAGGATTAATTCCATCATCTCCAAGGAGACCGCATCCAGCCAGCGACTGGCACTATGGGTGAGTTTACAGAGCAAACAAAAGCTAGTGGGTCTGTAATCTTCATGGCAGCATAGGAGTGTATTTGGTACTGGCAAGGTAGGAAGCATGGAATGGTGCTCTAGTCTCTACACCTCAGGAGGAAGGATTAGATATAAACAAGTCTCGTCTCCCTGATCTTAAGCTTCATGAATATGCAAACGTACTGATGAGTAGCCTGCCTACATGGATAACTATGTAGGATCTGAGATTCTCACATCAGTGGCCAAGAAGTCCGATAGTTAACTTCAGCAGAACCAGCATTAGCTTGGGACACCACATTCAAATATGTGACACCAAAATCACTCCACCACACCCGGATCACATCATCAGGGATGAGACTGATGCTGAATTCCAGTTCAATAACACGAATAGGAAGATGGCCTCTCCTTAAGCAAGTCATGGAAACTCTCATCTGCTTCCTATAAGATCACAAGATGTCTCCCTCACAGGATTCTCCCCATGAGTTCTCCACTGAGCACACTGCTCTTGTCAGGGCACCGATCAACCCTAATCATTTCCTTCCCTTGCTGTTTTTGCTTATTCCCCAAACTTGCCTAGAACTGACACACACACACAATTTCTCCACCACCCTGCTTACTTCTCTTTTGACCATGTACATGATTTTTCTTCCCTGTATCTCCATATCTGCATTAACTGGCCCCTTTTCATGGTGCAATCTAGTTACTCGTCTTTTGTCTGCTATTGGTTAATCTTGCTGTTCAAAGAGAGCCCATGGAAACTGACCAGTTGGCTTGCAAGTTCCTTACTATTTCTGTACAATCCCATGTTGTATCATTAGTGACTTGCTCAGCATATAGTGGTGAGGCTTGATGCAGGAGTTGGTGTTTTCAGGGTATCTCTCTAAATTCAGCAAAAATGTATTTTTCCAGAAATTTGGTATGTAAGAGGTCCAACTGGGATTATGTGCTAATGCTTAATACTAATAGACATTTAGGTGGCCGGTGATTATTACATTGCATTAATGTGCAGTGTCTGCCTACTGTGTACTTAGTAGAAGCTGTGTATCTGCGTTTTACTGTATGTGCTGTTTATATGAAGTTAAAACCATAAATGATGAATGTACCTGCCCCAGAGCTCTCAACACTCTAGAAAGAATGGATGAAATCCCCAAGGTTTGAGTACACAGATGCAGTGCACAAGTATCCTGATGCCAGCAGTGTTATGAAGTACCTGTATGAAATACACAAAGGTGTGAAGAGACTTACAGGCTGTGCTCCAAGACAGTCCCTCTAAAGGGCAAGCAACCAGAGCTTCCAACGAAGAGCATAAAACAAATGAGGTGTTCCGCAAGCAGAGGAAACAATAAAAAGAAAAACTCATCATATGATTAAGTGTGAAAAAAACTGTCATGCCTACTGGAGTAAACAAACAGCCAAAGAAATGAACATAACATGAAATACCAACATGGAGCTCCTTTGCTTTGGCCTACACTGGTATGATGGAGTTGGAGATCAGCCCAGAAATGAATCACAACAATACCATACCTTAAGATAAACATCAGCAGGCACCATCTAGTCAGGCAGGTAAACTGCCTGATATTGTCCTGACACCAGCAGTAAACCTTATTCAATTATAAATCAAATTTAAGGACTTGGGTCAAAGGCACTTCCAAGTTTAGTAACAGCAGAAGAGACAACAGATGTCATCAAAGAAATGGGGACTTTGGGCCATAAAATTCCACTTCAACAACCAAAGATAGATTCTAAAGGATTTTGGCAATGGTGTATAATGCTCAGAATTATGGGTATTTTGGACTTTTCCCATCGTCTGGTATTCTAAAAACTTGAGAACATGACGTTTTGGAAAATGAATCCATTTTTGTCCTCGGGTGAGGGGGGGAAGACACCTACTCAGTTTGGTCCTTTAGAAAGAACTAACATCAATCACTGGAAAAGACTGGTGGCAGTTTCAAAGATTCCCCTCTGAATTACAACTGACTCAGGGAAGAAGTTGATAAAGCAGCATGCAACTTCACAGCCTCTGTGGTTTAGGTGTACGGTGGGAAGTCATAATGTTTTAATTTTCACCAGGAGAAAATCAAAATTCCAAAATATCGTTCTATATAGGAGATAGCCCATTTCCTGAGCTTGTCGAACAGTCATATTTTCCCGCGCCAAGCGGACAGAGGGAGCCACCAGAAGGGACAGAAGCAAAATGGCAACATGGATTGAGAAAGTGAAGGCTCACGTTGTGACAAGGTTCCTGCATTTGCAAGGGAAGTCTTCCAGGGAGACCAACGTCCATATGACCGCTGTGTATCAGGAAGGTGTACCATCATATGACACAGTGGTCAGGTGGAAGAGGTGCTTCCATTGTGGACAGACAAACCTCGAAGATGAACCCCGAAGAGGAAGACCATCTCTCACCGAGGAAGCGAGAATTGTGGCAGAGGTGGAAGCTTTGATCCTATCCGATAGGCATGTAACTATCGAAGCTATTTTTCATGAGGTTCACGTTAGCCATGGGTTCGTTTTCAACATCATCCATGACGAGTTACACATGACAAAGGTCGCTGGGTGTTGGGTGCCACAATTGTTGACACCAGTTCAAAAACACCAATTGATGGATGTGGCAAAGACACTTTTGCAGTTGTGTCAAGACAAAGAGGTGGAATTTTTTGACTGCCTGATATTGGCTGATGAATACTGGGTCTTTCATTATGACCCTGAAACAAAGGAAATTAGCAAGCAGTGGAAACTTGTAGACTTGCTGCCACCAAAGTAGACAAGATCCCAGACGTTGTCAGGAAAGGTGATGTTGAGCGTGTTCTGGGATTGGCGGGGTGTCATCATGACCGACTACACGCAAATGGGCGTCACCATCACTGGCGAGTACTACCGGAACCTTCTGAGAAAATTAAGGGAAGAAATCAGGCAAAAGTGAAGTGGAAAGCTGGGAAAGGTGTGCGACTTCTTCACGACAATGCCCCAGTTCATGCTACTTATGCTAGGACGACACTTGCTACAAGTTTGGGATATGAAATTCTCCCCCAGCCACCATATTCACTAGACCTGGCATTGAGTGACTTCTTTGTCTTTCCATGGCTAAAGAAGCCACTTTGTGGTAAGCGATTCGAAGACAATGATGACGTCATTTCTGCAGTAGAGGGCTTCCTAAAGAGTCAAAATGAGACCGTCTAGAATCAAGGTATTCAGCAGCTAATGCATTGTTGGGGAAAACATGTGGCCTTGCAGAGGGCATATGTAGGGAAGGACTGACTCACAATTTCTTGCACCTGTGTCTCCGTTTCTTCAGGGTGATAATTACAATTTTATGACTTCCCCATGTATAGGCTACTAACAGCTACAATCAGAATTTCAGATGTAAATAATTATCTACCTGGTCTAGATCAGTTGCTTAACTACAAGGAGAGGATGGCTGACTGACCATAAGTCATCATGTGCCTTAGACTTTGCCTGCTTGCTTCCTGGTTCATGCTGGTACCTTGCTTGGCTTACTCTTTGACTCTGAAGATGGAGAAAATATGTTCCTCCATTATTTATGTTGACTTTCACTGGACTACACAGTGTTATATCTCCAAGACAGAACTCTTTAACAACACAGATATTCAGAAACACAAACATAAAACCAGTGTAAACAGTAAACTCCAGAGAAAAAAATTTAGCTATACAACAAAGGGTAGATAACAAATACAAGCAAAATGGAGTACATACACTTAAATTTCATCACAGTAATGAAGTGCACATGTGCGCATACACACACTTCCATGACAAACTGGCAGAAATTTTGAAGCCAGATAACCACATCAAATACAATAAGAAAAACTAGAGTTATGAAAGAATATCCCAGGCACATAACACAAATATAAAAAAATGACAGAGACCATGAACATTTTGAAAGTAACACCTAAAGAATGAGACATGGATGCCTGAAGAAAATGTTACATATACAGATTTAATAGAGCTGAATTAACCACAAAACAAACAACATGCTGAAGACCACTATCTTCTGAGGTGTGATGCCATGCAGTCTGGTAAAAGTTTACTGATGTTATGGATGAGCACGCTGCAGCCATCTTTAAGTTTGAGCAGTGAGCCATGAAAGGAAGCAAGGATTGGATTGCTGTGGCTCAGGACAGGAACAAGTGAAGGGCTCTTCTGGCCCAAGGCCCAAGGAAGCAAGGAAAGGAATCCCTATTTTATAGTCTTGGTTTTTTAATCCTTGTTAGATGGCTGACACTAAAAGAAAATGAATGGACCAAAGGCTGTGCATGAAGTGCAGTGCTGGCTCTAAGAGACATGGAAATGGGCTTCCAGAAAATTGCAAAGCTTCTAATGTTCTGAGGTCTACCTTGCTGGGCTATGTGAAGAGTGCTGACGCCAATAAGTAAGTGTCTTCCTCAGTTGGTAGAAAATGTGCCTTAGGTGATGAACTGGCCACTGAAATTGCAATGCATTAGCAAATAATGAACAAGATTTTCTGGGCTCAGGACACGAGAAATTTGAGTTCTAGCATATCAGCTTGCTGTGAAACACAATATCCAGCACCCTTTTTCAAGATGTAAGGGAATGGCTGAGCAATATTAGTTGAAAAATGTCATAAGACACCCACAGTTAGATTTCAGAACTTCTCATTTAATAACTTTAGCTACAATCCAGATCTTCACAAAGGAAAATGTGGATACTTTCTTTGATCCACTAAAACAAGGACTGCAGAAAGTGAAATCTGATCTGGTATAAATGTCTAGTGTCAATAAGACAGGAATCTCCAGCACTGAGGACATAAAAGAAATGTTTTCAGTGTAAAAAAGGAAGCAAGTTGCCAGACTGTCTCCTTGGCAGAAAGATGTTCTTTGATGAAAGGTGTGATATGCCCAAGTGGTAGTGGGATTTGTGCTATTCCTGACTGCTTCCTAGGACCAGACTGAAATCAAAACTGCTCAATGGTACCCCTCCTGGAACAGATTCCACATGCCATTCATCAGGATGGATACAAACACACATCTTCACTCAATGGTTTGAACACTTCATTAAAATGGTGAAACTACAGCCAGACAACCCCACTGTTCTGATCCTGGATGGTCACTTTTCACAGATGAAAAGCCTAGAGATCATTGCACAGGGAAAAGAAGTGGGAGTGCACATTGTATGTCTGCCCCCCACATTCTAACCACAAATTCCAACCACCAGAAGTAGATTTTTAAGGGTCCTCTGAAGAAGTTTTACTCTCAGGAGATGGAACTATGGATGGACAATCATCCTTTTCAAGCTGTTACTACAGTTCATGCTGGTAGAATCTTTGGGAAAGCTTAACTACAGGCTGTGAGTATGCAGACAGTCATTAATGGGTTCAATAAGTGCAGTATAATTCCATTCAACACTCAGGTTTTTGGAGAAGTTTATTTCATCCCAGAAAAAAAAAATGGTAATAATGACCATGCTATACCCAATGTCTCCATGATAATGGAAAAAGATGGAGCCTAAAACGTTGATTCTCCAGAGCAAAAAAAAAGTGGAAGCATGTACTTTGAGAGTCTCACAATTCAATCTTTGACCTCCGCCTGGTTTCCCTGGGCCATCAACCAGTTGCAACATTCTCTCCTTGTCAGAGATATCTCTAACAGTTATTGAACAAATATAAAAAGAAATATGATGAGTCCTCTACCAGTAATACAGAAGATAGACTTCCAAAAACCCAAAGGATGACAAGTTTTAAAGAGCAAGATAACGAAGACTTCAGGGAAATCCATGATCTCCAGATGGGGTACAACTGCAGTGGTCTAAAAAGGTAAAATATATACTGAAATAAAAGGACTAAAAAGTCACTAGCCTGAAATTTCTGCTGGCAAAAACTCTGATCAGTTCATACACTTTATCTACAGATGATGACAGTGCTGATGAGGGGTGCACTTTTTGTTCCTTGACTTACAACCTTGATACATAAAAGGCAGAACTGGATTTGCTGTATCAAATGTCTAAGATGCATACAGGGCACTGAAACAATGACTGGAAGACTCACCTGTGTCAGTACTGTAGTTGATAAAAAGTTGAACTTGCATTGTGACTGTAAATTGTTTTCATCACACAGGGATGTATGTACCTTCATGTTAATGCATATTTAAAATGTTGTAACTGTTTTGTAAATATTCATGCAGCTGACGCTTTTAAAATAATTACCAATTACGGTCTGCAAAAAAATAAGACATTCATATGTACTGTAGACCTAAGTTTCCTTCGTAAGGTAATTAAAAAAATGTAAAATTGTCCATATTCAATTACGCACTACACCATGAAGGTGTGTGGGGGAGTAGACGTATAGATCCACATTTTCTTGACCTCAGCACTAGATGGAAGTCAGTGATCAGCTTCATGCCCCTGCCACTTTACCCTCAGGCCCCTGGTACCTATTGGATAAGTTGGGTGGATGCCACAGCCAGTCTGGACAGCATGGAAAAGAGAAAATTCTTGCCCCCGCCAGGATTCGAACTCCAACCCCTTTTCAAATGTTGGACACACCAGGAATTATCACGGATGACCACAGAAAATGGCTCGTTCACTCCTTCCACAAGAACTAACAGACCACAGCTGAAGGCACCAGCCACAATGGTAGATTTCATGGTCCCTTCAGTTGCCACAGTACTGTCTATGCTGGAAGCAGTAACAGTAAAAACATACAAGCAGGCCCCACATCCTGAATGCCTGGACCCCAAATGTTGAATAATCATGCACAAACTAAGCTTAAGTGGATTTGAGACTGGGGGGAGGGGGGTAAGGTTGTCCCTGTGCTAAATTAATTTAAGTACTAAGACATGAAAACATGTGGGAGAGTGGAGGTATAGCTCTACCATTTTTGACATCAACGCTAGATGGATGTGAGTGATCAGCTTCATGTCCCAGCTGCTTTACCTTCCAGGAAAGAGCCCATGCTACTAATTGGATAGGAGGATGGTGGGTTCCAGACCCAGTCTGACCACTGTGGAGAAGAGAAAATTCTTGCCCCTGTTGGGAATCAGACCCCAGCCATACACACCATAGCTGGTCACTATACCAACTGAGCTATCCCAACTCCTTGAGAATTACTGGGAGTTAATAACATACATTTGTTATGGTCTATGAATTCACTGCAAGAATATTAGGCTGGAGACGAAGAGCAATAACTGATATTATATATTCTGACTACACACCTGATGGAGTCTTAACTGCAGATGAAGAGAATAATGCTTTACCAGAAGAAATATTTTGCAAATATTACATACAGTGTTCTATTTAGAAACCTGCATCTTACTGAATGTAATCTCCTTTAAATATACTTTGAAAATGAAATCATCATAATGTCCATGCAGGATGCTCACCTCTAAAATATCATGTTAATTACATGCATTATGTTAGTCATTACTCCATTGTCTCCACATTACAGTCATCCCTGTTTCACACCTGGGCCGTGGAGTTCAATGAAGCTCTCAAGAGACTGTGGCACTTGCCCTTGGTATGTAAGATTATAAGTTTTGACAGCTTTAGCAGCCATGCACTTCAAGCTCAGTTTCGTTTGTGTTCGAAGGATGATTTCTGCTACACCTGCAATGCAATCAAAAAAGAAAGTTTTCATATCTCTAAAAAGATATTAAGAGCACTTACCATTGGCATAATGCATTTTACATAAATATTTTAATTATGATAAAGACACATTTCATGAGAAGAAATATGTTTGAAAGCCAAAACAAGATTAATATTTAAAGTATTTAAGCGGCCTCCGTAGTCTAGAGGTAACATTCCCACCTCATGACTCATACTACATGGGTTCAAATACCCGGCGGAGGTCGTCGAATTTTTAAGGGCGGAAAAATTCAGGGAACAAGTCCTCTGGGAGGGACTTTAAGCAGTGGGTCCTGTGTCGTAGCTTTACGGCACGTAAAAGAACCTCATATCTCCAAAGGAGGTCACTGAGCCAAATTACGGATGTTTCCCGCCCAACAGCAGTCTCTAATACCTCTGGTAGATGGGGGAAGCTAGTAGAGCCAGTCTCGCTGGCTGGGCGGGACTGATGGTAAGCACCAGTACTGGTAGGATAGAGAGACTGGTAGAAATCATAGAGGGAAGCACAATGGACCAATACAGGTCTAAGTGCATGGGGAAACCCACCCTCTCCAATAACTAACTAACTAAAGTATTTAACTGTGTCCTGCATATATTTACTTCCAAGTTTTGCTACACAGAAACTTATTCATTTTAAGGGTGTCTAAATTTTAAAGTTATGGTGAGAAAAGACATACTAGTCTGGGGAAAAGTGGCATATAACTCATGCAAATTTAATTTATGTAACAAAAATTATTAATTTATACTGACACAGTATCAGCACTCATCTCTGTGGTGATATCAGTTTCATATCTGAGTATTCATCTCCTGACGATATTTTGCCAATACTGTACAAAGGCCTAACACAAGAATATTATATTTTTTTATGATATTTGTAAGCATGTACTATCTTCTCTAATACACGAATTTGACCATAATAACTTCCTTCAGTTTTGTATTTCCACCCCTCTCTCTTGGTGATATGCCCAAAAACAAACAACCAATTTGACAGAAGGGGATGTTCTACTGCTTGCATCTGTATGCAGTTTGAATTCCATGGCTTGACTATGTTTTCCTTTTCTTCATTATGCATCATGCACAGGTTTTCACACGACCATAAATTTCTTCGAGGCAGTGAACAGACCTGGGCGTGGCAGGACCTGCTGGCAAACTGCATTTACACTTTCCAGATTTCTGCAATGTAAAATTACTGATTTTTGTCAAATGAGATTTCTTTTGCAGCAAAGTTGCCTGTTCCCATGTGAAGTATTTGGTGGCCTCTTGCTTAAATCAAAGTAAAACTATTAAAAACAGATACATTCACTACAAACTGAAAAAGATATTTTTTCCAATATTTTATGGCCAGTAAACACCATAATATTCTCTTTTCTGATCCAAAATGTCAATGCTCTCCATGTTTTGGGTGTAGATCACCACAGCTCTAGGATATGGAATTTTTCACTTTCTGTTGTCACTTTACCATCAGTTATTGGACCTGAGTTGGTAGAGAGAAAAAGAACATCCTGGTTATCATGCCATACCACTATGGCCAGGCTCTCATGCTGAAACTTCTTACATTCGCCTCATTTCAGCTTCAGCCGTTCAGGTTTACTAAACTCCTCTGACCAATTACAGAGTGGATAATTTTCAGTCCAGTGTGACATACAAGTTTACAACACTTCAGTCTTTTTCACCTTACATGTTTCGATTCAAAAGAATCCTCAGAGGCGTACCACTAGGATAAGAAAATGCTGTCACATAAGATGTTTTAACCATATGCACTTAAGCTATGAATAATGCTCACCATATAAATTTTGTTATTATCACGGTTGGTTTTGGTGTTTGTCCTAGGCATTCACGACGGCGCTTCTTGAAGAGTAGACTTCCGTATGATGCTGTTTCTTTTAAGCGTATTTGCTGGGCATTCTGACTGGGATTTTCCACTGCACGCGATACGATATTCACTTTTTCATACATTAGCCTCCCAATGTATTTAAAATTGTATTAAAATTTCTTTTGCATGTAAAAAATTAGTTATTATGTTTAAATATTGTGAGCCGACACTGGGTCATGTTGTTTTCCTCCTGATGGTGGGAGATGTCATTTATTTCTCTTGATTTTATGTTCTTATTATTAGTCGTGTAGTTTACGTGCATGCTGTGTTACCTGTACTTCTGACCAATCTTTCCTTCCAGAACAGACATCATTTTCTACCTAGACACAATTTCATCAGTTTAGTTGATGTGAATAAACTGTCAAAACAAACTTGGTGCCACAGTCCCAAGTAGTGTTCACTGACGTCAGTAAGAACTTGCTCCACCAGGAGAAGCTGACAGTTTCTCTCTTACTTTTACCACACACAGATTTTGCACTTCAGAAGGTATCCTATTTTGCTACCAGAAATACCCTTGCTTTTATACCCCAGGCTTATTGCATTAAAATGAACCTACCATGAAGGCAATAATTACCTCATCAACTGTTACATCAAAATCTGGCTTATAAAGCTATCCATATTTATTTATTATATCAAGAGCAGATCAGGCCTTACAGAGATAGTTGTAATTTTGTCTCCTGGTCTTGGACTGTTTTCATCATCACTGAGGTATAGATATTGTTCAACTGTTAGCCTACTATCCACATACTGAAAAAATAAAAGTAGGCTTATGACATCACCTTGTTGTGCGTCTGTGTGCCTCTATGTGTATTCCTCCCTAACAACTTCTGAATGCCTAAACCAATCTTTATGAAACTTGGTATGTATAACATGGCACCTGAGCCCATCTCAATGGCATAACTCATAATCCCACCCATCAGTAATACCATCATTACATTCTCTCCAATTGCTGAGGTTTAATTTCAATATTGCTTGAGCCTCTGTATAAATCTTTGTGGAACTTGGCATGTATATCGTAGTAATTCATAAAAACTTTAGATCAGTAATACCAACATTCCAACCTCTCAAACTGTTACTGTAATAACTGTAATGTTACTTCAATGCCTGAATCTACTGTCCTGGAACCTGTCCTCCCAAGTGGCTACTTACTGAGGTTCAGTGACTAAAATTTTATTTAATATGTCATTCCCATGCATGGTAGATGTCATACCTATCCCACCATGGTTAATTTGTTCACCCTAATAATATTATGTGAACAGTACATACTAATGGTTTTAGGCTTTCATGGTGGCTAGTTACTGATGTTAATTCTGTTTTATGGTTATTACCCCATGCAGTTGTGGGTGACAGGTGCATTTCCAGGTTGAAGATGGAAGCAGCAAGTATCTCTGAAAAGTTTGCATCATCACCCTGAACCACATGGTATAACCCAGAAACACAATTAACTAGAGTACAAATCATAAAGCCCGCATCATGCAGTTTCTTCCAACCTCCTGTCACTTGTTCTCAAACACCTTCAACCTATACTCCACTGACACAGCAAGTTTCATACCAATATAGAAATTTTTTTACATTATACAGATATAAATAAATCTTTTGACGTACGCGGTAGCATAGTTGGTTAAGGCACTATGCTACAAGCCGGAAGGTTGCGGGTTCAAGTTCTGATGAGGTCATTGGATTTTTTTCAATTGATCTGATCCTTCCAGCTGCACTATGGCCCTGGGGCTGACTCAGCCTCTAACAGAAATGAGTACCAAGAATCTTCCTCGGAGGTAAAGGGAGGCTGGCGCATAAGGCTGACAACCTGACCGTCATCTGTGAGCCGACCGTCTAGATTATGTGGGAGCCTCAACTTCTCACAACCCTGTGGCCTCCGAGGCCTGTTACAGGGATAGCTTTACCCTTTTCTTTTATAAATAAATCTCTGGGTTTCAGGGCAGGAACATTACCAATATGATTAGTGTCATTTTTTAAAGTGTTATCAAGAAACCAGGGTTTTGTAACTTCATACCAGTTGTTGCAGCTTCAAAAGGAGTTTCACCGTGCACATTGACCGTGTCCATATGTGCTCCCGCTTCAGTCAGTTCCATTATAATGGAATGCAAAGTTAAGAAGTCACTGCAAAAATAAAACAAATTACAAATTTAATGTACACTTCTGAGGCAACTGAAGTTGCAGAGCAGAAAAGATAGAGGCCAGTGCTGCTAAAACTCTGCTATATGAAGGGATTGCTGTGGATTATTTAATGTAACTTTCCACATCCAGACTATATACTGTTGCATGGTGTGCATTTATGAATAATGGATTGAAAGGGATTTGTAAGAACAAGGCAATAGCCTAATTGAGGTACTATCCTAGCATTTGCCTAGAGGGACCGAGGAAAAGCACAAAAAACCCTCAGTCAAGAAGACAAATATCCAGACAGATTTCAAATGAGCACCTCCAAGATACAAGTAGAGAGTGTCAATAAGTCAATCTGTTCGGTGCAAAGGGACAGTCATGTTCTGTGCTCCTTCAAATGTGTTTCATGCAACAACATACATCACATCAGGAGTATTGTAAATATTGTGTAACCTGGCTTTCAGCATTTTAAATTGTAAAGTATTCCATCTGTAATGCAACAAAGTCAGTCCTTTCTTAAAAGACACTAAAAATATATTTAATTCACTAAAAAGTGTTTGTTAAATATTTTAAAATGTCATTAACTAAGTACACTCATTCTCTTTGCTACATGTTTTGGCAGCACAAGGGCCATCATCAGGCAGCACTTATTATTTGGGGAGACCATTGCACTGTACATTTTGTCCCTAGTACCCTCGGCACATTGTTGGTGTTGTTTGTAGATTTGCTTCATAGGATACTTTCAACCTTAGCAGCCATTTCAGCATTCCTAGTGTGTTGTTCACTTTAGTTGCATGTATAGTGCTGTTCGTTCCTGAAATATATTACGAGTGGCTTTCAGGGCTTAACCATGGTGTATGTTCAGCCTGTTCCAACATCTTGGCATACACTGCAGGTACCATCTTCATGGTGAAAGTGAGGCAGAATAAGGAAGTTAACAGTGCAAACAGCAGTGAGGTTATGGTGCACAGTGCTATCAAGTGGGAAGGGTAGTTCAAAGGCGACAGAGTTGAATCATACAGTAACTCCAACATATGCCAAAATATTGAAAAGGCTTGAACAATAGAAGGCAGCTAAATTCTAAAAGTCTAAGTTATACATGTATTGTAACGTGTATTGCTACTGAAGACGCTGCTTGGATTGTTAATTGGTTTATTTAACAACCTACAAGTCTTGGCTACAGTTAATTATAACACTGTTATGGATTTACGCACTTTACAACCCTACACAATAATCTCTTCAGTAGTCTTCACGTATTTATAACTTGGGAGCTATACAAGTCTCTCTTAATTACACACTCGCAATATAACTGTTCTACGGCACACACAAAATTTTGAAGTCACACAATAAGTCTTCACTGGCTGACTTCTCAGTTAGAGCGCACTATAAGATCTTCTAACCATGCGTCTGGTTCTTCTTTCTGCGACTGCTGCTATATTCCAACCGTCTTTGACGGCTGCTACACTTTAACTGACTCCTTAGGCAGTGCAGTTCTCTTATAAACCCTCAGCCAGAAAACGGAAAACGCCTCGCTTCCCTGTCGCCTAGTCGCCATGTTTACAGGTGTTGTTGCCTGTTACGTCACAGTGGGAAGCACTGCCATGTCACCGTGGGGAGGGGGCAGAGTGTTGACTGGCCTGTTACCGTAGCAGCGACAGCGCTCGATGTTGTTATGTCACCACTGGCGGGGGAGGGGGTGTTCTACATAGCGCAAATATGTCACACTGCTCCCTCCTTAAGGCTGTTCATCCCGAATAGCCTAACAGTATATCCCGTTCCTTTTATTTGCAGGCTGTTCTTGCAACATCTTTCTTGTCCGACTACTCCTATTGCCGTGACTATCCTCCATCCAAGAGGGATTCTAAAAGCTGGGTAGTGTTCCAGTAATTGTCTGGGTAAAAATGGTGGTATAACTCTTATGGGTTTACTATTTAATTCATGTTTTGTGGCTAGTTTTGGCAACTTTGCTACAAGATACTGTTGTGCATATAAATTTGTTTCATCCACAATTATTTGCATGGAGTTTGGATTATTTTTCACATGGTCAGTTATCGCTTATCTCAGAATGTGAACTGCACTGTGAGACGGACAAACGATAGATGGTAGGATAACAATCACTCTCTGACTATTTGACTAATCTGAGTAATCTGATAATCCCAAAATGACTTTCTCATTACCTGAGTGACTTCATTTAGGCACGAAATCTATAAAAGATTCATTTTTAGTCATAATTTCAGAAATCCTCCCCTCCGTTAGTGCTCCTAAAATCTTCCCACTGCTATGACTGTGCTGCAGTGGAAGCCAGGCATACAAAGTCAATACTGTAACCATACGTCCCTTGCCAAAATTATTTAATTAAGGGTACGAACAACTAATGCATTGAAACCTCAAAACTAACTAATGCANAATGGCAATATAATGCAACAGTTCAGAAAAAGATTTTAAAAATATACAAAAAACAAATGACATTAGACAGGTTTCTCTGCAAAGAAAATCAAGTGGTGGTAATGTTAATGCTAATTCGCCTTCCAGTGAACAGTAATGTACATATACACGGTGCCAAATCCCAGAAGACTGCTTTCTTCATAGTCACCGCCGTGAAAGCCTCAAATCTTACAATATTCAGTGTTCTGGAGATCCCGGATTTATTAGCCCCGAAGTGTGTTCCACTCCCATCTCCGAAGCACCCATATCCTGAGAAAAAGAACCCAAGCTCGAGCAAGGTCGTGGCAGCTGTATGTCAGAGGGCAGCTAAAATACCGTACGCCAGATCAGCTGCAACCACATACAACTCTCACATCTCACATGTGAGGGACTTCATTATTACAGATTAAACAGAAGGAAATTAAGATAAATAATATACCAGGCATTTGGCAATGCCTTGTGATCTACACGACACCTCAAGCACCTTATATTCATTGGTGATGCAATCATTCATAACAAAATCAAAATCAAAAAGCTGTGCTGACTTAACATCAAGACTGGCATTGGCCTCTCCAATAAATCAAGTTCAGTCAGCTTTAGCAGTGAATGTGAAGACAAATGATATTCCAAACAACTTTTACTTCGTTAACATGCAACAAAATTCATGAAAGAATAATTTCCAACTTCATTCAGTGTGACTGGCTTTGGAACAGTTACTTATCTGCTGTATATGAAAACAAAGGCCAGTGGATATCTGAAATAGCGAAGAATGTGTTTACAAAATGTAAAGGATATCTTCTACACAGAATGGAAATACACTCACCTGCTACTAGAAATCTCATGGGTGGAAGGAGGCTACAAACCTCATGGGTTTATAGTAACTCATATTTAGGATGGGGTACCCAAAAGAAACTGAACTAATTTTTTTGTGGGCAGAGCTTTTGTAGTACCGCGTTTTGCCGCTATGAGCGCATAGAGCTAACATTCCTGAGTTGATAAGCCGACTACCGTTGCTTCAGAAGGTAAGGACTAGTTTCGGCAGAGTTTATAGTGACAA